GGTTGGGGCCATCATCATTATGATCAAAACCATCATCATCACCATCATCATGGCAATCGTCACGATCACGCATTTTTCTTATCACCATCAGAGCATCTGCATCATTGCTTTCATGGATTTCATTGCCAACCCTCAGAAGACTGCACTCGTAAATTGTGCTTCTGATCAGGGAGGCAGCAAGGTGTCAATCGGATGAACGCATGGTAGGGCAGGCTCGAGATGAAGTTGCCGAGCCGCACATGTGCATATTCGTCACGGAGTGCGGCATTTCTGATACAACCGATACAGGTAGGGGGGGATGGTGTGGACCCATGGTGCAGGTCTTGCCAGCGTTGGGGAGATCGAGGGTGTCCGACCTCGCAACTTGCAGCTTGACAGCCCCGACACATCAAGCGTAATAGAAATCTTGAGTCTTGAGACACGAAGACGTGCTGAGGGCTTAAAGTAAAGCCTTTGCTCTCGAAAGTTTGTAAATGCCGACACTTTACGGTGTAGGGAGTAGGGTTCAGGGATTCGGGTTTAGGGTCTGTCTCGGCTGCAAGCCCCCCCCCCCACCTCGAACTTGGGATCGAAAGCAAAGGCAACAAACGAAGCTTGCATGCAGGAGGGTCTAATAACGGGCACGGATTGGTTTAGGGGTCAGCTTGAGTTAACTAAACGACACCGAAACGCCCAAAGCCGGGACAGTCGATCTTTGCTTGAGCTGCAGGCTGGGATTATGGACTGGTATGGGAAGTGTTGACGAAATCGAGGCTGCAAGAACGGCTGAGGGTTTACCGAGGGGTTTTGCTGTTCTCTCTCGGTTCGCGAAGACAAGCGATACTGTTCCCACGATTAATCTCTTGAGTAGTGCTTTCGGTATTTGCTCCATCGACCATTTTGGTCGCCTTGATTTTGATAATGGTGTAAGTGCAAGTATGAAAGATGAAGTAATCATGGTTGTCGCAGTGGTGATCATAGGAGTCGTCGCCGTCGTCGTGACAGGAGTAGGCGCAGGAGCAGGAGGAAGAGGAGGAGGAGGAGGTAGTACAGCTGGCAGTGGCTGAGCAGCTGTAGCATCAGCAACCATAGAGGTGTAAGTTATCGTAGCCGTCGTCGTCGGCGGCATAGTCACAGTTGCAGTCGTAGTGGTAGTGGCACCAGCAGCAGCACAAGCAGCAGTTGGCACGCAAGCAGCCTGGCAGGCAGGGAGGCAGGTAGGGAGGCAGGTGGTAGAAGTAGTAGTAGCAAAACAATACTACCGTGGCAGCAGCCGTGGTAGCAGCACAAATATCCATAAGAAGAAGCTTATCCATGTTGCAGCCAATAAGAAACTACCTTTCGGTGATGCTAGGCTTGATCACTAGACAACCGGCAAGTTCACAGGTCACCGGGAAGAACGCCACGGAGACCATTGTCGTGAAATCCATCGGTGCATTTGCTACACAAGCAGATTGCACTTTGCAAATTGCGGTAGCCCGCAGCCGGAAGCCAGAGGACACACAAGCAAGCCATAGTCCCAGGGAGAAGCGTAGCCGAGCTTGCAAAGGTTCATACAAAAAGTTGGACGATGAGCTAGCACTGGTGGACCACATGTCCTACTACAACGAGGCCGCAAACGCAATTCTGAAACGAAAGCAGCTGACCAGGTTCCATGCACCCTGGACCAAGTACGATGTAGAAAGACGATGACTCTCGTATAGCTCTCTAGGTAAAGCATCCAAACTTCGAGCACTGATTTACATCGACAAAACTCCAGAGTCGTCTTGCAGAAGTTTTGACGTGTCTGCCTGTAAGTATTATGCATACAAAATCATATGTATATATATATATAGAGAGAGAGTAATGTAATAAAGTATGCCCGATTCATCACACCCACTCTTACATGTACATGTATATGTGGATGTATATACGTATAAATGCTATTCGTGCATTCGTTTGCTGTTACACACACATACATACATAAGCACATACATACATGCATACATGCATACATGCATGCATACATACTTACTTACATACATACATACATACATACACATACGTACATACATACGTACATACATACATACATGTTGATGTCCTATGATGGCATGTCGTATGCCGAACTTTTTCGGAAGGCCAGCTTCTACGAGTCCGACCTGGCGGACCGAATTTGCCACAGCGGCGCGGGCTGTCCACGGCCCTTGCTCGTCGACCGCTCCAAGGACGAGCTGCAACGGGCACTTTAGGGATTAGGGCCTAGGGTTTAGGGTTTAGGGACATGTTATTTTTGTCATTCTGATTGCTTTTCAGTATTATCTAGTCCTGTGATCCTTATCACTATAACTCCTCCATGTGTACTGTTATGTTTGCTGTTATATCTACTGATATTACTGTTATTACTACTGTTGCATGTTTTCATTTGTTACTGTTAGCAGTAGTAACAGTAATATTAGTATTATCGTAAAGAATCAGTTTTGCGGTTGTAACCATTGTTACCATTTTATGAGTCTTACGTTGCTACTCTTCTGATTCTTCTTCTTCTGATGATGATGATTCCTGATTTAACATTACGTCATTCAGGGTTTCAACATGTATTGTCTTGTAACGGCTTGGGGTTTGGATGTTATCTGCATGGATGTGTGTGTGTGTGCGTAGGATTCAGCTCTAGCAGGTCGCTGGCTTTAGGCCCTGAGAAGACAGGCAGCAGTTCGCGATGGCGCAAGCTTGTTGATAGTTTTGCAGTGCGTCCACGCATGATTTGCCCGTCTGCAACTACCAGCAGCTCACCCCACTCTGAAGGACGGCGAGGTCACGATCTGCAGCTCCGACTCATGGTTGGATCGCGGGCCTGAACGGTTCCAACGATTCCTTTTGCAGGTAGGCTGAGATCAGAGCCTGCAGCTTTGAGCTCTAAAGGGGTATATGCAGCCCCCTGTTTGGGGGCTGGTAGAAGCAAGAGCACCAAGCTGGAGCCTGGAACTCTCGAGGGCTTTAAGTGCACCTCGGATCCGAGGTATGACGAAGCTTCCAGGCCGCGGCTTCTCTCGGAGTCCGGCCCAGACGAGCCTCGCTCTCTTCAGCTTCAAACTGCTCAGCTCCAAACGTCCCGGAATTCATCCCAGATCCTGCCAGCGTGAGAGCCGCTAATTAGCTATCAAGCCTCATCCTCTGAGCAGCTGCTGGCCCCGAGGAAAAGGCCCTTTTAGGTTTGCGGATTTCGCGGCTTCCGTCCCGACTTGTATGTTCGATAGATTGCACCCTGCAGAGCGAGGAAGGCCGCTCTTTCTTGGTTGGCCCGGCTGCATGCCTGCTTCTGGGGAAAGCGAGCGGATGCAGCTATGGCCGGGCCGGTAGCTTAGTCGCTGGAAGGGCGCCCGAACACCGCCCGCCAGAAATTATCAAGCAGTCCCCAACAAAGGGAACGTAATGGAAAGGATCAGTGGAGAAAGGCCTTCTTGCAGGATTACTTGGAGGGTAGACCACTGCAGGTCTGGCCTCTCGGGCCAAGCATGCTTCTGGCACCTGGACACCCGCCAAATTGAGCTGAAAAGCATGCCTCAGGACGGAGTGGGCCAGCCGTTCGAATGATTCCAGTTGCAAACACTCCATGCCTTCGCGAGACAAGCCCTCGCGCTTTGTCGCAGAGTCTTCTATGCCACACAAAGTACGCAAGTTTAATATCTTGCACTCGGCACTTTACACTCCAAACTGTTTGGTGACTCTGACAGGATGCGCTCCGCTGGGCTGCGAAAGGCATCGATGCCAGGCTGAAGGTGGCCGGACCAAAGCATGAGCCTGCACTCGGCTTCTCGAGGCATCGATCTGCCTGGCAGGCAGACAAGATGCAAACACTTTGTCATGGTGATCCAAAGGGCGCAAATATCATGTGGGATGAAGAGGCGCGCTACCGGAGCATTCCACCTCAGAGGCAGGCAGCCCTTCATGATTCGAAGGCGGGAGTCTCGTTCTACGACTTCCAGTGGTTCGGCAAAGCTCCGCCCACGAAGGTGCTCCCTCTCACGTCGCTGGTTTTTGCACACCACCTGTGGACTAGCTGAAGCATGCTGAAGCACTGTGTTAAACCTGCACGTGCGTAGAGGGTTAAGAACAGCATAGAACAGCGGACATGTTCCTGGAGACAGGATCTCGCCTACTTCTTTGGCGTCGCCGCCGCCGGCCTTTCCTCTGAGGAATCCGAAAGGGAACTCCTCCGCTTCTATCACGGAGAGCTCTCCAAGCTGCTGGTGCCGTCGATGCAACCAAGAAAACAGAGACCTCTGAACCCCGCAGCTTGTGCATTCGGCTGTTATTGCTTTTGCTGCAGTGCTGCTGTTTGAGCTTCTGTCACTTCTTGGTAGGCTCTCTTGCCTGTGAGGATGTACCCTCTGTGTGTTTTTGAGCCCAGGAAGCTCAGGAGGATGCAGTTCCGGACTTCGAGTACCTTTGGAATTCCTACCATCTTGCTCTGTGTGATCTGGGCAGGTGGATGAAAGGTGGCCAGGATGATTAGCGCTTGTGGTCACTGTAATTACTGTGTTTCTCGCACTCGAAGTTCATCGGGCGAGGTCTTCTCATCACCCGAGGTGGCTTCAGTTTCGGAAACACGCGCCTGATTTTTGGACATGTCCAAGCTCTCCTGAAGTCGCTGGATGGCTTAAAGGAGAAATCTGAAGAAGTGTACCAGGCTCCTTAAGTTGCACTCAAGCACGTCATGTGAGTGGCAGGGGGATACCGTGCTGCATGCCCAACCAAGGACAAGATCTTCGAGTTGTATCCGCCGTGACCTAGCATACCTATAGTCCTGGCATGCCGGATTCGAGGGTGCTTCCCCCGCTGCGTTCAAGCTCATGACTGAGTTTTAAGCCGTTTGCATGCATTTCAGAGTCCGGCCTGCGCTGCGACCGCTGCAGCAAGCATGCGCAACCCAATGCTGAGTTCAACGCTGAGTTCGAGTTTGTGCTGTCAAGCAGCCTCCAAACTCCACATAGTGCATTCGCAGTCCCGACTTTTTCCAACCTTCCGGGTTGCTTCTGCAAATGGACGCCTCTCGGCCACAGCAACGCGAAAAGCAGAGTCGAAGCGCAGAACATCCTCTGACTATTGCTGTCAGAACGGGACTTGTTCAAGAGTACTTGAAATGAAAAATTTTTGCTATAATAGTGATAGTTACTATGACTACTAATGCTGCAGTTATTGTAGGTTCATGATTATCAGTATCCATCCTCTTAATATTATTTGATTTGTGTTTTATGATTATTGTTATCGTTATTTCTGTTATTATCGTCAAGCTTATATATTGTGTTTATTGTATCATCACCATTGGTATTGTTTTTTAAACAGTGCTGTTGGTGTCACCATCATTGGTATTTCCAATAAACATGTCTAAACAGGTGTGTGTGTGTATATATGTTTATATCTACGTATATATATATATGTATGTATGTATGTATGTATGTATGTATGTATGTATGTACGTATGTATGTATACATGCATATATGTGTGTGCTTGCTGTTTTCTAATATTACACAATAACAAGCATCAGATATTGGGCATGATGTACTACATGTTACTAGATATGATGTATTTGCATGTGGTACCATGTTAGTGTTGACTGTGTCGTCTTGTACGTTAATACATTCGGTCCTCTTGTATTCTATGGCCTCGTACGATTTCGTTTATTACGTGGAGATGTCTGCCTCGGGATGCGTGTCAGGGCCGTCAACGGCGGTACCGGCCGCAGATCCCGTGGGAGACTCAAAGGGCAGCTTGCCCCAAAACATGGTCGCAGTTGTTCGAGCTTCCGCTGTTTGAGGCTGCAGCCAATGAAGGTGCCTTGTGCAGCCGTTGCTGATAGAGATTCTTCTCCAGACGTGCTAGCCGTGCTACGCGTGCTGGGAGCTTCACAGTGCAGATCGCGCATGAAGATGAGCCCTCCGCGCAATCTGTCAAACTGTGAGTGTGCTCAATGCGTCCTAGAGGTTCCCTCAAATCACGCGACCTGATGTTGTGTTTCGGAAGCTGTAGAACTGTAGCAGTCGTCCAGCTCGTACAGAAAGCTAAGAGTTGACGACAACGCTGTTCAATGCGTCCACCCCATGAAGTGAGTTCTGGGTGTACCCATGTGGTCATGTGAAACCGCTTTACTTCAAGTTGGCAGTGAGACATTGTCAGCGCCTGAAGACTATTCGGTGACGAGATGATGCCGCATGAACTATGCCAACTACGCTTGCACCCTCTTCAAACAAACCAAGCAGCAGGCATTTCCTACTGCAGACCTTTGGGGAGGCTTCAGTGGTTACATCAAAGGAAACAAAGCTCTGTGGATGAAGAGCCTCCATTTCATACTATGCCACCTTCCTTGCGCAGATGCGGAGCCTGGGGTTGGCCTTATCTCCCCGGAACCGGAGGACGGGAAAGAGGACACCTTTGCAGCTCAGGGTCAGAGTCTGTAGAAGCTTCGAACGACAGTGCTTCTGCAGTAAGCGGTGTGTTGAGCTTGAACTTCGCGATCATGATCCGATCATGGCAGTCAGGAGCATTCGCCTCTCCCAGTGCCTCCGGGGGTGGAGACACCAGCATCGCCAGCAACGCCGCCAGAGCTACAGCCCGAAACCTGGAAATTTCGCAATGACGACTAGACTATGGAAGGCAGCGTCGCACCCATGGATTGGCCCGTGTTTCTACTAGCTCGACAGCGGATCTGCGTTGCAATTGTCGCTGTTACAGAGGATTAGAGCTACTTCTCCTATGCCTGCACCTGCTGAGGATGAGGGTACTCCAGAAACGGAAGGGAAGATTGCTCCTCTTGTCATCATCGACGTCATCATCATCATCATCATGATCATCACTACCATCATCACGAACATTGCGATCATGGAGTGTCTTGCATTGTCGATGTTAGGTTTCCTGATGAAGATCTGATCATGTCAATCTGTTCCTATACCTTCGAGCTATTGCTCGGGTTTGTGCTTGTCCTTCTTGGAGTTCATAAGTCGAATCATAGTTCTTCTCTGCGTTCCAGCAGCTGTCTTCTGGCCCCGTTCCACAAGCTTGTGGTGCCTTGCCTGTCTTGTGCCACATACCATGAAACACAGGCGCATCTCATTGCATCTCTGAACATTGCCGCTTAGTTTTCCGTTTTTGCTCGTCAGAAAGACATCCGCTTGCGTTCCTCGATTTCAGTTCGATGTGTGGAGTTTCAGGAATGTTTGTTGACAATTGCCAAGATGTCCACCGCCTCTTCTTGCGGGCTTGGAACTTCTCGCCCTCGAGCTTCAATCGGTTGAAAAAGCTGTCTTCTTTGTATGAAAGGTCATGCCGGTGGCCTGCTCTCGCCCACCTGAAGCTCCTGAAACTGCCAGCATCTCCTACTTAGTTCCTACATCTCCAGACTCGCCTCAAATCTCAGCAACGTACTGCCTTGCTGCATTGGTCTTTGGCGAAACGCTGGTGAGGTCACCAGGGCCCGAGGATGAGAATGGGATTCCAGGTCTGGAGCCGGAGTGTGCGGGCAGTGCCACGGGAGACTTCGGCAAGTTTCGCCCAAAAATCGCCCAGGTGGTGCCTTCCCGCACAACCGGCCCACCAGCTGGGTGGAGGTCAGAGGCGTAGCGGCACAGGTCGAAGAAGCATCGAAGCTCCTGTCAGGTTGAGGGCGAAACCATGGAAGATCTGCAGCGTGAGCTCGAGGTGCCACCCTGTCACAGCGAACCGCACTTCACGAGAGTCGCTTCGACGCAGGTTGTGACATGTCCAAAGCCGTGCATATCTACGGAGACCCAGACGGAAGATCCTCCTGAAGAGGTGCCAGAGGACTCCCGCCGAATGCAGAGGGCAGATTGAGTCTGAGTGGTTCCCGCTTTGTGGAATCCTAAACCCTAAACCCTTAAACTTTAGGCCCTAAGCCCTAAAAATTTAGGCCCTAAACCCCCAAACCCTAAACCCCTAAGCCCTAAACAGAGAGCCCGATCCCACAGAGCACAGAGCGAGGACTGTGCAGACCGCTGGTTCTCGGGCTTCGTCGACGCGGTTCCAGCTCGGAGTTCGCAGCCCGCCAAGGCGCTCCTTCGGTTGTTGTGTGTTATATTATAGGTTATATTATGTTATGGCAGTATGTTATTTTATGTTGTGTTATGCTATATTATGTTATTATATTCTGTTATATTCTGTTATAGTATGTTATGTTCTGTTGCATGTCTTATGATTACAAATTCGACATCCCTCAGCAGACGGACCCGAACCGTGAATGTTGAGAAGCTTGTGATACTCATTCTGCTGCCTTCCGCTGGCAGGTTGCCACAGACCTGAATGCAGAGGCCGGGGATTGGGTGGTTCCACGAGCAGGTGTTTCCGTGACCTTCTGCGGCTTGGAGTTCCTATCTTTTGACAGATATATTATCTATTTTATATGATATATTGTATATTATATATTACATATTATATGTATTATATATTATATATTATATATTATACATTATATGTATTATATATTATATATTATATATTATATATTATATATTATTATATATTATATATTATATATTATATATTATAGTGGTGCCGAACAGGCGGCTAGCTCCTCCGACTCTGACTCCGACAGCAGTGACAACGACGAGGCTGCCATGCACGCATGTCATTCTTCTACGACCGTTTAGTTCTTCGTCATATGGTTTCACATGCGGAGCATGATTTGTGACTGTTGGAAATTCAGAGATCTCATCTCGAAAGTTCAACGCTGTGTGAGGTCACCTGCAAGCCCGAGCGGCAGATACGCCGTCGGTCAGATGGCAGCCGGAGACCCTCATGTGCTGGTCACTGGTCCAAGAGGAGATGAGCCTTTGCATGTAGTGCGACTTAGGCCTGAGCCGCGATCGCAGGGATGGGCCGCAGCCTCTGTCAAAAAAGGCCTGATTTATCCGAATACATCCATCCATCCATCTATCTATCTATCCATCTTAAACGGGTATATACGTATGTGTATGTACTAATTTGATACTCATACTGATTGTAACTAACAAGGATATGCGTATCAGTGTTAACCATATACCGATATTAGCCTCTTCTGCACGATTAAAATGACATTGACTGCTGTCTCATTGTCTGCTCCCCAGCATGACAAGCCGAGGCCACAAGAGCCCGAAGCAAAGAACGCAACCGCCGTGCACCCGGTCCTTTGCAAAGCTCTCATCTCATCTTTCATTTGTCGGGCTGCCAGGCAGAGCCCGAAAGCAGCAGCAGCAGCAGCTCTTCGTCGTCCAGCAGCGACTGGGATCCAATAGTCGTGTGGTAAACTTCATCCCACTGGTGAACTGTGCTGTTGTCTTTGCCCCAAGATCTGTACAGTGCTCAATCATCATGATGCCATAACATCGCAGCATGCTGCAACCACTTCTCGTAAACATGCTGAAGTGAGAATCAGGCCGGTTCCCCATTCTCGCAGAAACTGCAAGTCAACGGCTGCATGGCCACAAGCATTGTGCGGTCGCAAGTCTAGCAGCTAAGCTCATGTGCGAACGAAGATCATAACTACTCGCAACTCTTCCAGCTATAAAAGCAAAATCTGAAATCGTGAGATGAAGTGAATTGCAGCAACGAGTCACGCGGATTCCTAGATGTATTTCGGCGGCCTTGCTCGCCGGGCCGAATGCTGGATAATATGCTCGGGCTGCCATGGAGTTTGAGCGTGCTTTGTTTCGCATTCATCAGAAGACGCTCCTCGCAGAGCCACTGCGGAAGCTGCGCGTGCAGTCTGAGCGGATCTTGCCGGCCATCGTGACGGTCCATGTGCTCTTGTTGGCAGCACTGCATAGCTCCTACGTTGGCCAGGCGAGTTGCCTACCGGAAGTTCTTCAACGAGCAGGGCTTTGGAACGACACGGCTTCCAGACCGTACCTTCCAGAGGATACATTGCTATACCTGACGATTACGCTTGGGGACGGCGTCACAGGGCTGACCATCGTCGAAGCCACAAATCGATCCAGCACGAATCCTCTTCGGCTTGAAGATGCTTCCGATGTTTTCGGTACCTATCGCTTTGCTCTGGACCGCGAGATAGTACAAATGCGCAAGCCGGTCTTCGACAAGCACAATTTCCTGGTGCGAAACGTGTCGCTGGCGCAAGCTTGCCTCGCCCCCTTGACGCCCCTGGCGGATGCATTGCATTTCTTCAATGCTTGGGACGGCCTGGTAATAAATGAGTTGGCCTACAGCCTTCGGTCTCGAGGATATCTCGAAAGGATGGATGGCGATGAAGTTCTTGAGGCATGGGCCTGGACCAAAGAACAAGTTGAGGCCCCAAATCCTGAGCAAGGGCGCTCCTTGCTAGCCTCGCTCTTCCGCAAGCTTCTTATACTGCTCGGCTCTGTGGTGTCCTTTGCATTGATATCTGCAGTCACAGGACTCTTTATACGCATCGCCGTGCACGGTTCCGCAGTGCTCATGTTTCCACTGGCATTAGTGGCACAGACGATGGGCCTGAGCTCGTCCAGGATGTCGATAAACGTGCTCTCCCGCAGCTTTCCATGGATTGGAGTCCACGTGGATGTTTTGCGGCGTGGTAGTCGTCCGGTTTGGCCTTTGCTTCGATCGCACATGGCATTTCTGCTTGTGCAGTCTTTCGCGTACTTGAGTTGCAATCTGGCTTGGAGATTTCTTCTTTATCGGAAATCCTCTCCAGAGGGCTTTGAAGAGAACATCTTTAGCTTGTGTTCGCTGCTCGAGCTTTTCAACTTGATCTTTGTGCGATCTCCGTCTTCGGCAGCGCTGTACCCGAAGGTTGCCAGTGCATGCGTCATTTATCTCCACTTCTACATATTCTGTTCGCTGTATCCGTTTCACGGCCTGGCATTTCTGACGTGTGTTGGAGCTTGTGCATATGTCATGGTATACTGCCTAAACCATTTCGAAGAACCGGCGCTTCGGGCAGACCCTTTCAACAACACTACGCCCACGGTGGCTCATCCACGAGCTTTGTACCTGCCCCTGTTGTCACCGTCGTGGACTATCGAAGCAGCTCCGCTGTGGACGATGTTCTACCCGCCGGAGAACGCCTCTACGTTCCCTGAAGATGCTATGCGCCACATACAAGCTGAAGAGTACAACATGCCATGACGCAACATGTCAGCCTGTGACGACGGGCGAGAAAAGCGAACACACTCACCGAGAGATGCCTAGATGGATAAGATAAACAGCAGTTCCCCTGCACGCCTTCGCTTCGTCCTATAGCCATCCTTACCAGCATAATCTCCACTACAGCCGGGAGACTTCAATGTTGAAAGAGTGAACAGAGGCAACGCTGAAATGAAACAACGTGTGCAACTGTACCAAGGGTGACAACGAGTTAAACCGGGGCATGCATCATTCCAGCCAAAAAATACAGATGCAGGCAACACAAATCAGACCTGAAACCACGAACCACGAGAAGAGTCGCAGGCATCAATATGGCCGATCCTGCGAAGCGAGATTTCGGTAGTGCTAGGAAAGAGAAGTAGACTGATAGGTGGCTCTCGCCAGCGACAACGAGCTCCTTCTTCAGACGAGGAGACCTTTGCTTCGATGGAGCCTGGCCAAAGGCCCTTCTGATACTGTAGGACTGTAAGGTTTTTGAATTTAATATGGGTCCTACTGTGGGGGATCTGCAATGGGATCCCTTCCGATTTAAAAGTCCTGCAAGCCTCGCAGGAAGCGGCAAAGGCCGAAGGCAAGGGACTAAGCTCGAGCAGAGTATGTCGTGGCACCTGCTCGCTATATCGATTACGTGAACACCTTCGATCGTTCCAGCTGAGTTTCTGTCTACAGGTGGTTTAAAAAGTGTAAGCAAGGTGCAGCTCCTGCCAGCGAGATGCACGGAGCTCAGAAAAGGCGCAGGCTCTGATTTCAAGACGTCCTTGATCGGTCCACGGCTGTATGGCTTTACTACAATACTGTGCCTTGCTACGCTACACTTGTGTGCAGCGTGCTGAAGCCAGGCCAGTGGATCCGCGCAGTCGCGTTGTTCAGGACATGCGTTGAAAGCCGATCAGGTGCTTCATGATGACTTCATGTTTCCTGTAGTGGTGAAGAGGACTACTCCGACGTTTTCTGATCTGACAGAATGCGTCGGCAGTGAGATTAGGAAAGCTTGGGGAAATTCAGAGATGTATCGAGGATGACACTTGGGGTCTTGGGACATCTCAGCATTTTCCCCAGCTTGTTACGCCAGCTTGGCCAGCTGTGGCTGGCCCTTCTCACCCAGCAACCACATGACCCTGCCCATCTCGGCCCACAAAAAGTACGACTATTGACCGGGCTGTACGCAACACCTGCATTGTTTGGATTGATATTAAGTCTGTGACTGCGAGCCATCGTATTGATTTAGAGTCCATGGGGCCCCCGTTTTGTTGATTTACTAGCACATCTACGCAAGAACTGGCTGCAGGTCCAATTCTGCTGTGGGCACCAAGACTATTTGAGATCTACTTGCATGTTGAAGCATGAGAACGTGCACATGCTTCGGCATTCAGGCGCAGCGCTTTTGTTCAATGGCCTTGTCTCAATGTTGAATTTGTCTTCATGTCCAGACTTGGCTTCTGTATTTTCAATGGCTTGCGGGAATTGTCAGATCGTAGACCTTATGGGCAGTAGGCTGTAGGTCAGCCTCTCGGGGAACCGATGCTGGAGGCTGCGCTCTCAGGATGCAGCTGCATCCGCACCCAGACGGTCCAAGAGTTCAAGAAGCTCACCTGGGATTGCCGAGAGCATTCACAGAATGGGAATGTCATCCGCCCAATCTAAAGCCAGGTCTTTCCAATCGATACCGCAACGTAGTGCCACTGCCAAACGGCACGAGCCGCACGACAGACGGTGTCAGCGGTCCTCACGCCGTGGCACCGTGCAGCGCGGAAAACGGCACGGCATGGGAAGCCAGCATCCGACACTTGAACGGAAGCGCGCGTGCAAGCTGGTCGTCCAGCGCAGAAGCTCCGATTGTGCCCGAATCAAGTCAGTCGCCGCTCTTGACAGCACCTGCTCACCCAGCACCGCCAAGAGCCATGTCGAAGGATGAATGGCAGATGGCAGCCCAAGATGGAAAGAGCCAGCATGAACAGGAAAGCTTCACGACAAAGGCCTCTGCATCCGAAGGACCCATTTCTGCCATGCGCTCAGACAACGTGCAGTTTCCCATGACACAAAGAAGCCCAAAGTCAGTTAAGTGCAGCTCAGGCGGAGGCAGATTCAGCTGAACAGAAGGCTTTGGGACTTCGAATTGCGAACAGGGGCCTCCTTTTTGATCTCCCCTTGCAGGTGCGCGGTCCTCCGCAGCCAGCCAGGACTTTGTCCGGCCCCTAGGCGAAGGGCTGCCCAGATTAACACCTCGAGGGTCCTTAGTGGTTCTCATGTTACTGTGAAAGCGGCCCTCCTGCCTAGTTTAAAGGCCCTGGCATGGTCTGGAGCACAGACTGCGTTTTGCACTTTGCTAAGGCCAGGTCCTGGAGAAACCGTTGATTGCTTCCCTTTGCTCCCCTTGCACAATCGCTTGCGCTTGCTGCAAAGTATCATTGCAAGGGCCACAAGAATCTAGCTTTGGCTCGTTTTGTCGATGGAGCCTGGAGAAGGGCTTTTGACAGCGCCGAGGATGGTCAAGCAGAAAGAGGTTCGGCAATGTAGCTAAGCAGGCACATGCAAGCTGTTTTACTTCAAGCTCCGGAGGAGTGCGACGGCTGGCAGATAAAATCCTGCATTGCCATTGCACCCTAGACGGTGAAAACTATTGTACATGCTTTGGTATTATTGGTGGTGAGGGTGGTAGTAGTAGTAGTAGTAGTAGTAGTAGCAGCAGTAGCAGTAGCAGTAGCAGTAGCAGTAGCAGTAGCAGTAGCAGTAGCAGTAGCAGTAGCAGCGGGAGGAGTAGTACTAGTAGTACCAGTAGTAGCAGTAGTAGTAGTAGTAGTAGAAGAAGTACGAGTAGTACTAGTAGTAGTGCTAGTAGTAGTACTAGTACTACTACTAGTACTAGTACCAGTACTAGCAGTACTAGTAGAACTTGGTAGGACGAGAAGGAGCAGGAGGAGTTGGAGGAGTAGCAGCAGTGGTAGCAGTAGTTGCGGTAGTAGCAGCGGCAGTAGCAGTAGTAAAGTACATATAATACTCCATCGGGCTCGCAAGGATAACCTTGAAGCCTCAGTTTCCAGCTAGATTTGACAGCGCCGGTGACTTTACCGCAGACCCTGTCTTTCCAGCACCATTTTAATTCAAGGCCGGCTGATTTCCTGCTGGGTCGTTCCAAGAACAATGAGGACCCGACCTGGAGCATTGGGTCTCGATGCAGAAATCTGTTCATCTTGATGGTTCGGAACGAAAAGTTTGCGGCTTTGGGGTTTAGGCTTGGGTTTTGGGTCGTTCAGGAAAGCTGAACTGCCCTGTGGGAAGCCACGTGCAGCATGACCATGCAGGTTTGTGGGCAGTCGGCTAGATTCCGGTGCACCCTCTCGGCCTCCGATGGCCAGGAACTGTTCAGAGTGGCGTGCTCCGGTGCGCAGAGGCTGGCAGGTGAAATCGCGCATGGCTCAGATGGAATGGAGGGTGCAGCGGATGCGAAGAGGAATGCTGCAGAAGCAACGCGTAGAGTTCCCATCATCAGAAGCAGCTGAGTGAGCTAGGATGGCAGTGAATTCTCTGACCACTCAACCGCGTCAGTCCTCGATTCGACCTAGTGTCGGGCACAACATGCCCAAGTGAATCGGAACTTACAGAGAGCCCGCTCGCTGCTCGCTTTTCCCGAACCACGCCATTTTGCAACTTCTGCGAGCCACCACAGCTCCGAAACATCTCAAAAGAAGCCGATCCTCCCCGGTGGACAGGAATGCTTCACCCGAGGTCACACTTGATCTGCACAAGCGAGCGCACAGAAGGAAAGCAAGAGGTCGCTGAATTACTAGCAAGTCTCGTAGTGTCTCCCATGTCAATGTGGAGCCTCTCTTCGTTGGTTGCCTCTATTCCATGCCGCTCCGCTTCAATGGGTCATGATCGTCACCGAAATTCAGGCCGAAGCCGAGCAAAGAGCTCTGAGGATGGCACGCGAAGTCATCGATGAGCAGGGTCCCCCAGTGTTTGCAAATTGCAGGTTGCTGATCTCCCGTCGCCTAAGGATGCGAAGCCCTTTTTCGAAGGCACGAAGAAGGCCTGATTGAGTCGAAGATCTGTGTGGCACCAACCTTCGCAGGCCCGGCCAGAGCCAGCCGCAACGGACAAGCCTCCGACGAAGCCTCGGTTTCTCTTATTTGAGGAGCAGTGGTCGGCTTGTTGATGCCTGGAAGACGCGCGCAGTGCACTCGTTCACCCACTCAGTTCTACAACGTGGGAAGATGTGGCACTGCCTGGAAGGAGCATGCGGCAGTGAGCGATCTGATGTTGAGTGGAGAGTCGTAGGGGGCCCTCCCTCTCCCTGTTAGGACTTCTGCCTCAGCGGCCGTGGAAGCAGATCCTCTTGAAAGCGATGCTGTTCCGAAGCCTTCTGAGGTGCCCTGTTCCAATGCAACACATCCGCGTGCTTTGCCTCTTGAAGTACACGCAAACACAGATGCTCTGGCAGGCAGCTGAAGCAGCGCGTGCCTCGGGCTGTGCATGGTGGCATGCTGATGCCGACAGCACCTAAGTAAGTGCAAGTGCATATGGTCCACTGGGAAACTCCCACCGAAAGCAAATTTCTCAGCTGCAGGCTGCTGCAATATACCGGCCCAAGAGCAGATGCGTTCTTGCACGTCTGCTTCAGCTCTTCGTAGAGCAATGCTGGCTCGACCCAAACGGTCTCGTACAGGCTTAGGCCCCTGCGGTTTTACATTCTGGATGTAGTACAGATTTCTCGACCGCCGGAAGTGACTTGCAGAGTGCACCCAGCCCCAGTACAAGCACTGCTTGAAGGCCTTCTGCTGGCTGCTGCCGATTCTTGGCTTCACACAGGAACCACAAACCTCGATGTATCTACTGCGACCGTAGCGGGGCGAACATCATTGGCTCATGTCGAACTGTAGTGGCATGTGCATTCTGAGGTATGTCTGCTCGGCGGAGAATCGGCATCTGGAGCCTGGGCTTCTGAACTTGAGTTCGATCTTCAGTCGGTTCTTGGCCCGTGCAGGCTACTGACCGTCTCTGCAACTTAGGCGTTGGCTTCAGCGTGGTCCGTCCAGCTAATCCAGCCCGTGAAACTCCACGCCTTCGCACACGACATGGTCGAAGGCCAGCGAGCCAGTAAGCTCGACCGAGAGCTCGTCCATTATGGTTGCTATGCAGACAGAGAAGGAAGAAAATGCCAGGAACTTCTCTCCTGTTCTGCACAGCTAGATTCAGCTAGATGAATCAAAACAAGACTTGCCAGGAGCTGCGCAGCTCCGATGCAGGCACTCTCCAATCTTCGTCATGCACTTTGGGAAACTTCGTGTCTAGGGGTCTAGGGCGCATGCCTTTCGAACCTTTCAGGTGATAAAGGCGGAAGGAAGCGGAATCGGCAGTGTCCTTCGCGGCTTCCTGAGGCGCGTCCGGCTGTGTGTTCCGATCCTGTATGAAGTCCCAGTCCCAGACTTAGCAAAGCTTCCGCAGACTACACTCAAGCTTCACGAAGAGGGCCAAGATCCTAGCCTCAAGCCCTATGCCATGCTGTGCAGGGTTGTGTTCCTTTCGATTTATGTGATCATGTTGTCATGTTTGCAGTTATATGATTTTAGCATAACCGTCGTAGTAGTAGTAGTAGTA